GCTTCTGCTCCTTCCACGCCGGTACTCTCTGCTATTGCCACGTCTTCTTCCACGAGGATAGTCCCGACTGTCTGATCGCTCTCTTCGGCGTCTGTCTCTTGAACGTGATCGTCTCCTCTCGTACTCTCGTTCCTGCATTTGCTTCACCTGCTGTGTCAACAACTCGACAGTCTGTAGCAAGGCCTGTGTCGCGGCATCAGGCTGACTTGTAGCAACTGATTCACCCCTTGGTTCTGCCTGTCTTGAGGTCTCGGCCTTGTCACGGCGACGAAGTTCAGCATCTTCATTGTATCGACTCTCTTCTTCAGGTGCTGGTGCCTCAGTTGCTGGTGCTTCAGGCGCTGGTGCCTTGGGTGTTGCTGCAGCGAGTTGTGGGTCTGGTGATGCTGCCCTCACGGATCCTGGTCCTCTATGGGACATGGTGTGTGTCCCTTTTGGCACGGGGACTGGCGCCTTCGCCACACTCGCCGCCTTTACCACCGCTGGTCGAAGGACTGGTGGTTTTTTCGGACATGGCGGCGGCGGTAGTACTCGGGAACCGACTGGTGCCTGGGATCTTCGATCGCTCTCTCGGGCTTCAACTTCCGAATCGAATACCACCAGGCCAACATGGCTGTATGTTGGAGTCGCCTTCAACCCGAACTGCTTCAAGACATAGTCCCTTGACCTCAGGGCTGCTTCCAAAGCATCATGCGACTCATGCGTGCACATCGCACATTTGCCCTTGCATGTGCCGCTCATCTGGCTCCAGGAATGATCCTGGTTGGAATGCGTCAAGGTCAAGTGAGCTCTCGGGCATAGCTTGCTAAATGCCGTTGCCAACAACCAACCAAAGGATACAGATCTGTGTCTGTTCCGCCTGCAGTAAGCTATGACAGCCAGTTGTTGTCCCTTTTCATGGCAAGCCTTCAGGTGATGAAGTCCATATAGCAATGCTTCCATCGTCTTCTCGCTGCCAGTCATCCCTCGAATGATTTCCGGATGTGTACCGACATGAGATCGCAACTGCGGGTCGTGTTGAGGATCTCCAAATCCCATGCAGTCAAAGATCAACCATCGCCTCCCGGGGTCAAATTGTGCCAAGATGGGTCCCAATGTAATCAAGCTCTTGCTGCGATCAAAGCTCGCAATCTGGCCATTGAACTCCTTTCCACACGTCAAGACATGCACACAAGCAGGGTCATCCAGCGTGAAAGTGCCTCTAGTCGGGCGCTCTTCGTCAGCCATGAATGCAGTCAACTGATCTGATGGACGAATGTTGAAGCTCATGCCATAATCCGTGTTCTTTAGTTCTCGAAGTTGCTTTGGGAGTCTCTTGGACTTTAGGCTCTTGAGGCCTTCTGAGAGGTTCACACATAGAAGTCCTGAGTTCCTAGCTCTGCACAGTTCAAGTTCTGCATTTCCTACGTAACACTTGGTTGGCATCACCCATAGATTTCGTGAAATGCAATGCAGCTTGAGCATGCTGTGACAAAAGCAATGGAATCTTCCCATCAACAACATGCGTTTCCATGACTCCCGGAAGTTTCGTCTCGGGGTCCAAAAAGGTCAAAGCAAATGGAATCCGACACTTGCCCAAAGTCTTGGTGTCTCCGGCGAGTCCTCGGAAAGCTTTTGAGTCACACTGCAAATCAGCTACATCATATCCAAGACGTGCATACTTGTCCTTGGCGTTTTGGATCCATGCTTGTCCACACACAGTTGCATTACATCCTTCATCCAACACAGCCCAGACTCCAGGGTCTTCCATGATGTCAACAAGACGAAGTGTGTTTTCAATTGTGGCTTCATTGAGATCCGACAACAGTCCCATGTAGCAAGTTTCCGGGGCGGCCTCTCTGATGACCTCCACGGCATTGGCAAGGATCTCGAACAGGACGCCAACCCTCACAGGTTCTCCAAATTCTAACTCACACTCAACCTCTTGTCGAAACATCTCCAAAACCTCTAGAGTCCCTTCAGCTGACATGCATGCATCGTTGATTTCATTCTCAATCATGGATGCTGTCGTGTCGAATGCATTGGTGCGCATGCCTACCATACTCTTTGCCATTGCCTCTCTCTTGCGCGCCTCTTCTCGGGGCATCTCGTCGACAGTGGTTCCACACAACTTGCAGTACCAACGAGACGTGGTTTTCGAACTGCCTCGACGATCTGTAACCTCGTGCTTGCACTTTGCGGGATCGGCCGAAGGTTTGCTTTCTTTCTTCTTTCTTTCATTCTTTCCGCAGTCAAGGCATGTCTTGTTCTCAACATAGGCATTTGAACCTTGAAATGTGAATCTGGTGCAACGACGACATGATTCCTCTAGTGGGGGGTTTGGTGGTTTCCCTTTGGCACTCTTGTCTCCAGTACGTCGAATTGCCTCTACTGGCACATCTGTCAATGGATGCTCTCTCAGGCTCACGTCTCCGTCTTGACTGACTTCGTAGTACGTGGTCACCCAGGTCAGAAAATCTGCCAAACAACGCGAAGGGTGCGAAATGCCTGATCCCCATTGATAGTATCCAGGGTATTTGAACAACACTTCATGATATGTCAAACCTTGGTGCTGACCAAACACGAAGACATTCTGCGAACCTTCAGGCAACAAGTCTTGCTCCATGTCCTTCTTCCTACGCGTGACCGGCGGGGACTTCTGCGGTGACCGACGGACATTTGGCTCGACCATCGAAAAGCTAGACGGTGGACTGCTGGTCACTCCTGACGACATGGATGCACGGTCAGACGGTTCAAACTCAAGCTTCTTCTTTGGGGACATCTTGTATGCCATGTAGCACGTACCATTTTCGACAGTTTGACCACTGACATCAACACACATGTATTCACCTTCAACAGAAGACTCATCATCACTCAATGCAAAATAGGCTGTGGCTTTACTCGTCGACGACGTTCCTCCAGGGGACTTGTCGTTCTGCTTGGGGAACTTGCAAGCTGGGTCTCCTGCCCAATGTCCTTTTCCTCCACAACGCAAGCATTTGGACACTGACTTCAACTTTGCTAGACGTGCAATCCTGTCTTGCACGCTCAACTGTGTCCTGAACACATACTTGCCTTTTCCCTTGCTCTTTCCACCTTTCTTTCCTGAACCTTTACCTTTGCCTTTGCTCTTGCCCTTCAACTGGTCAGTCACGACAAAGGCCATCATCTGATGCTGGGCTGCGCTGCCCAGTTCCTCTGAGACATCGTTCTCTTCATCATCACATTCTCCCATTGCCATCAACGCTGTGGCAACTTCAGGGTCCTCGACATAGTCTTCATGTTCTTCATCTTCTGGTTCTTCATCTTCTGCTGCGACATAAGCTTCATGCTCATAGTCGTCCTCTGCTTCTGCCTCATAGGACTCTTCATAATCCCATGAGTCATCTTCAACAACGTACGCAGATCTCTGCCAACTGCGTCCTTTTCCTCCTTTGTAGGAAGACTTGCCTGAAAACTTGCCTCCGCCTTTCTGCCTCCGAGGGCTCGTATTACCAAAAGCGGACCAGCTGCGTAAGTGAATCTGTCCATGGAATTCAAGCAAGAACTTGGCGTAAACGTCAAAGGATTGGTTGTCGCCTGCAGCTGTCTTGATCATGAGCTGTTCTGTCTTGCTCAAGCCAGAGCCTTCCAGAAGTAGCTCACCACGCATGGGGTCCGAAAGACTTACCCCATCATCCATCTCCAAAAGCTTCCTCCACCAACGACGTCTTCGTGAAATGTAGCTAGTCATGCTTTCTGTCGTTTGGCGAGACAAGGGACCATGTGGAAGTTGACCCACTCTGAACAACTCTCGTGCTTCTTGTTGTCGAAGTGGAAAAACTTGTGCACGGATACGCGATATCAACTCATCAATGCCAGTTGGAGTCAACAACTTCTCCAATCCCATGTCTTGAGCTGTAAGGTATGCATCACCTCGCAGACCTTCCAACACCTTGTGAACAAGTGTTGCATACTCTGCTCCATCATCATCCAGTCCGGCAGTGCTCAGAGCTGGTTCTTCCTCTCCTGCCACGCTCTCGGACTTCGGGGTTCCAAAAGCTTCAAATCGTGCCTCGTCATCCTCTGATACATCCCCAGCTTCGGTCGCATGAGTCGGCCTCCTCTGAGAACGTTCTGGTGTGGCTGATTGGCTTCCAGGACTCGAATAGGTCTTCTCTGACTTCTTCTTCGCATGTTTCTGCTTGTGCAAAGCAACGCGGACCTTGGTGCGAAATTCCCATTCGAAGAAGCCATTTGGATTGCCACTGTAGATATATGATCCGCTCTTCGTCTCCTGTGGTCCTGAGATACTTCCTCCATGAGATGTGTACCGCAGGCCAGCCAGCGACATCGCAACTCAACAAGTTTCGCAAAGCACTGGAATTACAACGGTTCGACGGATTGCGCGCAGGGTCACGCAATTGGGTTCAACGGTTGGATCCAGCGAGTCTCCCCGGGTGAGTCAGATCCTGAGGGTGCCCCTTCAGAACCTGCTCCGCTACCAGTTTGAATCTCGCACAGTTCCTTTTCGCAGCAGCGAATCAGCTCAAGGGCCCTGTTCAGCCGAAACAGCAGCGACGGTGCATCAACTGTACGCAATACACCCTGGCTACAACAGCTGAAATTCACACTTGTTAAGGTCAATTTGTGGGGGTACGACACACCCATCTGCAAGAATCTCTGGTTGTTGTTCTGCCAAACTCTCCTCATCCACAAGCCAAACCATGTCAAACTGCAAATCCAACAATCTCCAATGTAGACCGCCCCGAGATGTCGATATGTTTTTGAGATTGTCCAGTTCCGATCTCTGAGTCGTGGGCTTTCAAACACCCCAAGTCCGCTGCCGAACTGACTCTGGAGCCGTTTCCCTGGAAACAAGTTAATTAGTAGGTTTATTAACCTGTATGCCGCCGCCGCAACCTGCCGTATATGCCCCACCTGTTCTTAAATTGGGAAACCAATCCATGGTGATCCACGTTTTCATCCGCGAACGCGAACGCCATCGAACGCCACTCGCTCCGCCGAACGCCACCCCGCTCCCGCAGAGGAAATCGGGAGACCGAATCGGCCTCGCCAAGGACAGCGACCGCGACCGTCACGGCTGGCGACCGGTCTCATCACAAAGAGCTGGGGAAAACCAACAGGAAAACCGAGAGTTCCGATCACCAATAGAAGAACACTGTGGTCATGGCGATAGGAAGTATCACATTTTACAGTGTGTTTAAATTTGTAGAACGTTTGTTTGTATCGAAACTGGAAACGAATCGGCTCATCACACTCATACTCTCGTTCGTGCCTTGAAATCCATGCTCTCCCGCAAGGTGCCATCGTGCAGGCGCATGGGGTTGGCCGGGGCTTCGGTCCGTTCAGTGGACTGTAGGTTGTACCTCGGCAAACAAGGACCAACCAGGACCATCCTGTTTGGGTGTTCTGGCTGGACTACCTACCCTACAATAGTATCCGGGATCTCCAGCCAGGACACCCACACAGGATGGTGCAGGAAGCCATGAAACAAAGCAAACTTTTGATGGCGTTTGATGGCAGTCCTTCTAAAGGTCGGGATCACCATGGAATTGGCGATCTTTTGGGCGTAGGGGAGATTGTGGTAGGATGAGTTTTCCATATTTCTTCCAACAAACAGATCAACTGCCGGATCCCTCCTGCTTGCCGACAAAGGTATCCCAAATGGCGACAAAGGTAATGTCAACCTTTGATTAATCGGTAGGGCCCCCCCCCTGAAAGACCTCAAATAGACTTAAAGACTGTTTTCAATTGTTTAGTATTGGTAGAGATTTTTGCTTTAGTATAAGAATCTATAAAGGAAAGGAATAGAAGAGAGGAATCCATTGAGGACCCATTGATTCAGCAGGAATCCTCACCAGGATCAGCCAGCAGGAATCCTCGCCAGGATCAGGGGGTCCTTAGCTGTATTTAGGGTCAATCTTTATTTTGTACTTGGGCCCTCATGAGGGGTACCCTTGCTGAACTGTTTTCATAGCTTTGTTCAAGATTTTTTAATAAGGGATTTTAAAAGAAATCACCCTAGGCTCATTTGGATCTTTTTCCTTGTCAGCTACTCGAAGAAGAGTTCATTAAGGGGAATGAAATTGGGATTAGATTGAGAAGACTTACAAGAAAGGACATTTTTTAAAGGCTGGATTTGGGATACCTAGGGCCAGGGGTGAAAACAGTTAGCTTTATTTAGGGGTAATTTATAATCTGTTCTGGGATTTGCTTAGCTTTATTCAGGAGATATTGATTAATCCTAGGTGGACATTATACGATCGTCACTTCGGGTCATTTGTGGCTTCGTAACTTCTGACCTCGCCATTTGAGGAGACCTCCCATGCATCCCACGGATTCCCATGGGAGGATTTTGGCGGAAGACGAGGTTCCATACAAACAGCTGGCGCACACAACGCTAAAGGAAACACCATGAGTTCCTGCATCACATCAAAGAAAGATCTTTTACATGTGGGGCCCAAGAAACCCCAGATCCATAAATAAAGTCACTACTAATTCACACTGCACGTCTCTCTCTAGGAAGTCGATGCTTTGACCATGGTGCCAGTTCTTCCTGCCACGCCCACGCCCAATGCCCAGCGCGCGCCTGGGTGTCAACGGGTTGGTGTTGCGAGTCGTGGTGAAAATCTGCACCTGCACCAGGTCGGTCGCGCAGTGTGCAAAGTACGAGCACAAAGTTAGAGCAGGGCAGGGGAGAGGCGTAGGGGAAAAGACACCTGCAGTGATTCTGTTTGTTTTTTTTTGAATGTGTGTATCCGATATCGTTTTCAGGATCCAAACAAACAAATACAATTGGGCATGTGAGCTCAAAAACACTGGCTTTGGGTCAGTAGCTCTTGTTTGAACCATCTCCAACCAAAGCACGTAGGATTCAAATACGTGTGTTTTTTTGTTTTATTGATTGCCAAGCACAAGTTTGACCATGTTTACTAAGGGGGTTCACACCACAGAACTGGGCTGAACCTTTCTGCGCGAAGGCCTTGAACTACCACTGCAAGCTGAAAGAACGGCACTGATAATGTGCAATGTATCTCTATATATATTTATATCTACACTTATCTACATAATTCCACATAATTCTGTATGTATATACACATATGTTGCATCCTCAATACACCTGTCTTGGCTTTTGTCAGCAGCATCGATCAAAGGCAACCTTCAACAAAAATGGGTTAGTCACACACACTTGGTGTCTCTATAGTTCCCTGTAGATGTAGCCTGTTATATACAAACTTCTAACTTGTAGATTATGCAAGAGTCTAACACCAGTAGGATACTTGTACATACAGTATATCATAGTATATAATCTATAGTATTCTATAGTTATGTTTGTTGATCGGTATACATTCAATGTAGAGACAAGTCTTGCTACACGAATTCTAACAGGCTAATGACTGAAAAAAAAGACACTCTAATTCTAACATGTGATCATATACCCTTAAAACCCCTTAAATTTGCTATGTATACATCTAATTTGAACTCGATCAATTTCACATCTGAATATCAATGATTCTGTCAAGTTGCACATTCCTGGACAAACAATGTATATATACGTAGGTTCCAACTCGTGAGTCTTCGACACACACACACACACACACCACTGGTAACAGAGTTTATATGCTGCATATATATATATGTTTCATGTACCCTTTGTGGAAATCACAAACCTTGCAGCCAAATAAATTGTTGGCCCAGAAAACAGGATGCCTATGGCCGAGTTGACTTCGTGCGTTCTAGAACTAAGAACAAAGTTGACAAATTGGCAAATCAAAGGTCTCGACCATTTGTGGATCAACCACCCAATTGACTCGTCACAGGCCACTCGTCGACTTTCCACAAGCCCTCAAATCCCCCTGTTAAGGCTACAAGCCTCTTGAATTGCATGGTGAACGAAAAATGCCTAAAAGCCTTAGCAAATACCATCAGGTTGCTACCATCCGCGGGGGGTTCCTGTTCAAAATCCAGGTGTGTGAGGCAGCACGATGATGCCTTGGACTGCGCACCATCCACATCATGAGTGCTGAGAGACATGTCCTTCACTCGAGCGAGAATGGTGACGCAAACGCGAAGGATGGCAAGGTGGAAGAACATCAACAAGTGAAACAAGGATAATGATTGGAGATTTACTCTCATGGCAAGGAACCTGGCAAATCCCTTTTTGCTTTGTGTTATGTGATTGTTTCCAACTGCATTCTGCATATATATACATTATATAATGACTCATGACGTACCCTATCTAATGATTTGGAAGACGCATGGATTGGTTGGACCTGGCCACTCCCATGTGTTTTGGCGGACCGCGGTCCTTGGCTTTCTTCAATTCGCGATAGGTCCTTGGAGTGGAATCCTTGATGGGCTCCTGACGGACGACGACAGTCGTCAAATGGCGAACGTGTGAATGGCAGCTGGATGAAGCCCAGAACAGCCACCCCAGCTATGCACTGAAAGAAAGAGGCAAGTGTTTGAGGTTCCAGGTGCATTCCTTGAAGTCATCGTGGAAGTGTTTTTCCCACCTGTTTGTATGGAGGATCTCATGGTCATCCAAGGCGTCATGCTTCACTTCCATGATATATTATATATGTAATGTGGAGTTAGAGGTATCTGGGGTTTTGGTCTGTATCTAGTCTAGGGTTTCGTTTTTTGTTTTTTAGATATTGTTTTAATGATCTTTAATCTATTTCTGTTGCTTCCCCGCAGCCCGCTATCGCTCGCGCTACGTGAACGAGCACTTCATCACAAAGAGGCCAGGGGGCCCAAGTGCGATTTGCGAGTGTTTCTTTCTCATGTATATATTGTCGATCAATTAACTTACACCAAGATTCTTACGCCATGACAATCTGGCATTGATACAAGATCTCTTTCAACGCACAAGATTAGAGGCCGGGCGATGATGGAGGCTCAAACCCAACCACCCGTCCTAGTGGTGGACAAAGTACACCCAAGCTCAAGACCCTGGATAGGCATCAAACCCCCATTGCATGAGATCTCCCATAGAAGTATTTAAGTCATTAAAACCTCCTGCATTGACCTAGGCTTGCTTGCGCAAGCCATGCATGCAACCTTGTGCTTTCCAATCTCGTGGTGCTTTCGAAAGACCTATGAACCCCCGGACCTGCACATCCGCCATTCCAACCTGCAACCCTTCGGTCCATGAGGATGCGCTGCAAGTATTTATTGTTTCTAATAGCAAACATGGTTACTACTAGTAAGGCACTTGTTACTACTAGCGATGCACTTGTTCCTAGTAGTGATGTTCCAGGGGCTTTTTCTGTTTGTTTCCACGGCTGTGGGTCAAAACCCGGATAGGTTGATTGACCTACCTGGAAGGTCATTTGCTACAAGTACATGGTAGACCAGGGCTCCAGGTTTTGACCCATCCCCATATATGGCTGCGAAGTTGTGTCCCGGACTGCGGCAGTATGTGGTGAGTCGCCCAACATTTCAACAAACCAACCAACAAACCATCTTCGGAGGTCTCTTCAGCGTCAAGAACTCTGTTGGCGCATTTACCGTAAGGCTCCTTTGGCGGAGCTCCATCAAGATGAAGGCTCCGGAGCATATACCTTAGGATGCGAACACGTGGCTGGTGAAGCAATGGAACCCAGCAGGACCTGTGCTTAGCCAATGCTGACACCGCTCAGATTCCGGGGCTCGTTTGTGACATGGCAACTCTACTCTACACACATGGTGGAATTGGCAACAAACTGGTGGCTTTGTAGCGTGGAGTTTTGCAAAACCTGGTTATATGCACTGTCCTACACAAGTGTTTGGTTTCCCCTTAGGCTATACCTCAGGTTGATCCTAAAACATGCTTCGGTGCTCTCGAGCTTGGCACCGCCGAGCTATGCCGAGCTGCTCCGGCCGGGCGCCCGCGATGTCATCACAGGCCAGGGACTGAGCGAAGCAGCTGAAAGGTGATGACTCCGGGGTTGGGGTGTCGCTACAGATATCTATAATGAAAAACTATATGTGTCGTCGTTGTCTTAATACGTTTAAATATATTTAATTTGTCCTGGAACATCCTGCAAACATCCTATCGTTGCCACTCCACCAGCCATATGGATCCCTGGAGGAAAATTGGGTGGGGCAACCATGATCAAGGACCCCTCAACAAAATGTCCTTGTTACAGCATGAAGACTCGCAAGAGTTCATTCACCACGTAAGTGACTCGTTTGGGGCTACATGTTTCTTGTCCATAGATGGGCTAAGTTGGGCATGAGGAAGGCCTGTTAAGTTGCTTGAGTTTAGTGTTTTTGCTCGCAAGAAGTGTTTTGCACCAATGTTGTTTGGAAAAAATGAAAGAAGTGTTTTGGTGTTTCCGTGGCCAAGTCTTAAAACACTTCCACAACCAATAACCATTCGACCCTTCTTCTCACCCTCAATACCCTGAAACACTACAGCCATCAGTCACAAATTCCCAAAGCGCAAGCACCAAATGCCGTTTTTCTTCTAACAAAAAAATGCAAGCAGTCTCACTGATCCAAAGATCAGCTCTTCTTGAACAGCTTTCGCAGGTCTTCAAACAAACTTCCTACAAAGTGTTCGCAAAGTTCTGGATCTTTACAAAAAATTGACAAAGTTTTGGAATTACAACTTTTTTTACCGAGTTTTTGCATTACAAAGTTTTAACAAAGTCTACAAAGTTTAAAAATTGAAATAACAAACTTCACAAAGTTTTGGAAACTTACAGTACATTAAATTCTACGAAGTTTTTACAAAGTATTGAACCTTTAGATATCTGAACAAAGCTTTGGACATTTATCAAGCTTTGAACAAGTTTTGGAATTTTACAAGGTTGTTACCAAGTTATCGAGTTTGAACGTTTTTACAAAGCTTTTACAAAAGTTTTTGATGCTTACAAATTTTCTACAAAGTTTCGGAATTTTTCAATCTGCGTCAAAACTTTGTAAACTTTATTCATTGAAAACTTTGCAAAACGTTGTAAACTTTGTAAGAACTTTGTAAACTTTGTAAATACTTTGTAAATTTGTAAAAGCTGTGTAAGCTTTGTAGACACTTTGGTGAAATTCAAAAACTTTGTAAACTTTCAAAACTCTGCAACAACTGTGTAAAGATTGAAAAAACTTTGCAAACTTTGTCAAAACTTCGTAAACTGTTGTTAAAATTGTAAACTTTTTAAACACTGAAACACTTTAAACTTCGTAAACCTTTGTAAAAACTTTGTACAGTTTGTAAAACTGTGCAAAAACTGCGAAAACTTTGTGTAAAAAATTGTAAAATGCGAAAACTTTGTCAAAACTTTGTAAGCACTTGTAAACTTTGTCAAAACTTTGTGAACTTTGTCAAAAAGTTTGTAAACATTGCAAACTTTGTACACTTTGTACTAACATTTTGTAAACTTTGTAAACAACTTTTAAATGTTGTAGGCCTTCGTAAACTCTATTTGAAAAAAGACGTTATAGACTTCGTAACACTTTGCAAACTTTGTAAAACGTTTTTAAACTTCGTAAACTTTGTCAAAACATTGTAAACATGTTGAAAGACCTTGTGAACGTTGTGAAAACTTTGTAAACTTTGAACACTTTGTAAATTTCCTAAAAACTTTGTACAAATTGTGAAACTGTACAAACTTTGTAAAAACTTTGTAAAATGTAGAAAGAAACTTTGTAAACTTTGCAAATAAATAAACTAGCAAAACTTTGTAATCGTTGTCAAAACTTTGTAAACTTTGTCGAAACTCTGTAAACTTTGCAAGACTTCGTAAACTTGGCAAAATCTTTGTACACTTTCCAAAATCTTCAAAACTTTGTAAACTTTGTAAAAACTTTGTAAATTTTTGTAACAAAAGGCAAATGTCGCAAACTTTGTCAGAACGTTGTAAACTTTGTAAAAACTTTGTAAACTTTGTAAAAACTGTGTAAACTATGTGAACTTTGTAAAAACTTTGTCAAACTTTGTAAAGTTCTGTGAAAGAAGTGTTTTTGCACGATTTTTTGCTTAAAAAGAAGTGTTTTTTCATGTCATTTGTTGTAAACACAAGTGTTTTTCACCAGCCATTTGTAAACTTTGTAAAAACTTTGTAAACTTTGTAAAAACTTTGTAAGCTTTGTAAAAACTTTGTAAAAACCTTGTAAACTGTGTAAAAACTTTGTAAACTTGAAAAACTTGTGTAAACTTTGTAAAATCTTTGTAAACTTTGTAAAACTTTGTAAACTTGAAAAAGCTGTTGTAAACTTTGTAAAAACGTTGTACAACTTTGTAAACTTTGTAAAAACTTTGAAAACGTTGTAAACACTTTGTGAGACTTTGTAGACTCTGTAAAAATTGAAAAACTGTGTGAATTCCGAACTTTGCAAGAACTTTGTCAAATTCCAAAGCTTTGTAAAATCGTTGTAAACTTTCAATACTGTGCAAAAACTGTGTAAACTGTATAAACTTTGCAAATTTTGTGAAAGCTTTGTAAACTATGTAAATACTGTGTAAAGTTTGCAAATGTTTGTACACTTTGTAAAAACGCCATGTAAAAAGTGTAAAATGTGCAATCTTTGTAAAGATTTTATAAACTTTGTACAAGCTTTGTAAACTTTCAATACTTTGCAAAACTGTGTAAACTTTGTAAAAACTTTGTCAACATTGCAGCAACATTGTAAAACTTTCAATACGTCTTTAATTGATTTTTAAATGGTAAAACCTTTGTAAACTGGGTAAAAATTGGAAATTGTTCAAAACTTTGTAAACTGTGTTAAAATATTGTAAACTTTGTAAAACTTTGTAAACTTGGTAAGCGGTTGTAAAACTTTGCAAACTTCATAAAATCTGTGTAAAACTTTGTAAACTTTGTACCAACTTTGAAAGCTTTGTAAAAACGTAGTGAACTTGGTATAAACTTGGTAAACTTTGTCCACACTTTGTAGACTTTGTAAAACATTTTTAAACTTTGTCAAACTTTGTAAGCTTTGTCAACCTTTAAACTTGTAAAACTTTGTAAGAACTTGGTAAAACTTTATTTAAGACGTTGTAAAATTCGCAAACTTTGTAAAAAAGGTTTACCAACCTTTTACGAAGTTTTGGAGTTCTTCAAATTATTCTTCAAAGTTAGATCAACGTTTTACACAGTTTTTAGAACGTTTACAAAGTTTTATATTTTTACAAAGTTATACAACGTTTACAAAACTTTCACTTAAGAATTTGTACAAAGTTTGCAACTTTTGCAAAGAGTTGACAGAGTTGTTGAATTACAAACAAATTTACAAAGGTTTACAACGTCTACAAAGCTTTTACCATGGCCGTTCACTCACCACTCACGAGACAAACAAACCTATGAAATAGTCCTTTGCTCGTATGTTGCCACTAACAGCGCAAAAACACAAGACGTGTTTTATACCCTCTCTTAGTTCTGAACAACCAATTCTTCAGAGGTCCGCAAGGGTCAAAAACACTTCTTCTGCGCTAATTCCCCCGAAACAACGAACGACGGTCCCCAAGCAACTTAACAGGAAGGCCAAAATACCACCAAATTACCTATACCAGCACCACCCAGAGGGCGGTTGCCATCGAATGATCATCCAAAGTGGGTGTGACGTTTTTATCTGCCTCTCATGCCCTACATAATTGCAAGCTACACCTCTCTAACATGGACACAGGGTCCAAAGTTGTGGCGCATCTTCTCTGCTTGAAACCTCATCTTCTCTGCTTGAATCAGCCCAGAATCTGCCCTGAAATCAGCCTGATAGGACAATGTGAACTACTTGTTCAACCTAGGTCTGTCCCCAACCAACCCTTCTGTTCAGCATCCTGCTGACTGTACCCCCAATATACTCCCCTACTTACTCCCCTATATATAACATTAAATAAGAGTTACCCACACGAAATGGACAAAAAATCTTGCCACTTCTCCAGTGTCATTTAGCAGCCGGGAAACCAAACACAATGCTTCCATGATCTTCCATGTTCATGATGTTTCATCCAGTTTCAAAAGGAGTCAAAGCACATGGTTCCAGTTTCAACATGAGTCGTACATACTTCACATTGTTTCACTCCATGTTGGTGATCCAATTACTCCCTCACGCCTGCTGATAGTCCTTCTCATACCTCACTCGCCCGCGTGGTACGTCCTTCGGTCTGACCACGTCCAAGGACCTTGGAACGGGAACAGCGACCCGAAACGGCGGGTCCCGTGGTGGGGGGGAGGGTCGGGTGGTGGGAGGACTCACCGATTTTGCTGTGCGATGTGGTTTGAAAGAGAAGTTTAGATGATTCACCATGTCATTACCGTCTATATCTCAAACTCTCATCTCGCTCTGAGGTTGGAGGCCATCGCCATCATCGCCCTTAGGTTGGAGGCCATCGCTACCACCATGTACGTACAACTCTTTCACTCTTAAGAAAACATCATTTCATCAGTCCAATCAGTCAGGAAAACCCATTCTTCCGGTCATCTTTTCCCCCCTTCAGAAGCACCTCCCTCCGTTCGTTCCGTTCACACCACTAGCTTCACCAGCTTCCTGCCAAGACACATGGCATCCTTTCGAGAGCCAAAGGGCACGTCTTCCGCGGGATCCGCCAGCATGGCCAGCCCCTGGCCGGATCCGGGGGGACTTCCCAGAGATCGTTTTCTTTTTTTTCTGAGCAGATCAGGGCTCACGCCGGAGAAGAGGGTCAGGATTTGGGAAAGACACTATAGTATATGGAAGAGCGAGATGTGTAAGAGGCATTGCAGGGACGATTTGGAAGTTTGGCAGTCTAAGAACATTCGAAGAAAACTGTCAAGCTCTGGAGGTCTGGTTTCCAGAACATCTACCGGTTCAAGGCAACTGTTGAATGGACGCTTGTAGTGTCTGAGTCATCTTGACCAAACCGTGCAGCGAGTCACTTCATGTCGGACAAATCACCTAGTCTTTAGCCACTCTACTGTGTGCACACTTGCGAACGAAACGGCGACTGCCAGTTTAGAGCATCTATAATTACTATATAGACGAGATACTGTCTGTCAGAGAAAATACAAATTAACCATATGAGTAAGGTTCAATGATTCCAATGTATGTCGGAAATAACCATATCTAACAGGGACCGAACCAACGATCCAGTGATAGATATATCTCAACTCACTAGACCGCTTACATTATTTAGGACGTGGGTGAGGTGAGGTGAGGTGATTGGGATTGTAAATCAATACTACAAGCAATTACAAGCAGCACATGCAAACATAAGGATAGGTTGAATATGTATGGATAGGTTAGGTATATCCCATTCCCTGTGGATGATGGTTGGTAAAGGATACACTGCCTGGAATCATCCTGGGCCAACGTGGATGGCATGGTTACGGCATGGACGTCAAATGACCATCTTCCGAATACCAAACAGCTGGCGCCCACGTCGCACCTGGGGGGGCACTGCATAGCCGATGGCGGTCAAGGGCATGGCTGCCGCTCTGCACCGTTCCCCGAACAAACGGCGTGACTGGAGGGTCACCGGCGAAGGGGCGCCGATGTGGGAGCTGAAGCAGAAATCAACAGAAACAACTCCTGGAAGTTCTAATTCATGTGGACCATCATATGGAGATGTAAAATAGACCAAACCATTCCAATAATCAGCGAGTTTATGCGAGTTTGATCAACACTCAACATTACAAGGTCAAGCCACTTGTGCCCGGTTTTGGCCAAAACGAAAAGATCTCTTTGCAAAAAGCCTTGCTCTTCAAGTTGGCTTGTTTTACGGCAAGCGTAGATTGGACCACTTATGATCACTTCACACCTTTGACTGATATGTCACGGCTGGGAGCACAGCATGGCGTGTTTGGTGTTTCAGGTGTGAACCCGTTCCAGGGGCCTCACGACAGCGCCTTCCGAGAAATTCAGTATGCAAATGTAGTAATCCAGGGTCCAATTGAAACCAGTCTCCGGATCTGTATGGATGTCTTCACTCATGTCGCACTGAGGATATATCACAAGATACTACTGTACAGTTCCACCAATGAGTAGCAACCAAATACAAAGAAACGGACCTACACTGCAAGTACACACAACATCACACAACCAGTCCACTCTTGTCACGTCGCTGGCCAGTTCCCTGTAATGAGCCCACTTGTATCTCCAGGATGCTGTTTGGACTCTCGGGACAACATCCCAAAGAAGTTCAAAGTATATTCATTTCAGAAGGCATTGCATGGCAAGTCTGCTTCAACCCTTCTCAGCATATTTCTTGGCTCGAAAGACTTGACGGCAACGTGACTATGCGTGTTGTGAAAGGTTTTTTGTTGAAGACAGTAGGTTAAGTATGGTTAAGTAAAACCTCATGTCCCCCAATGCAAAGAGATACTCCCGGCATGTGACAAGCTTTCACAGAAAGGGGCTGTAAGAAACAAACAGTTTTTCATTTGCAAATGACATCTGGCAGCACTTGAGCTCTCAACTTGTCAACAGCCTGCGCACAAAAGGATTGATCACAAACATGGTAGCTTGCACCGCCGCACGACACCTCGCACCGTCGCTTGGTCTCGCGGCAGTCCTTGCACTTCTCGTCAGACCTTCTTTGAACGCTAGTCATCTTCTGAGATCCGAGGCGAGAGTCAGGCGATTCATCTCAAGTCGGACGAAAGATCCAAGAAGTCGTTGACCTTGAAACCCTTCGGCTTGCACACCCTCCAAGCCCACTGCAATCGCCAGGTTGACGGGGTGTGGAGCCTGGAGTATGCAGCGAAGGTATGGTCAACATTGTGGGTGTGCATTAGAATATTTCGGGAGACCCTTCAAGCACCTCATCTGCCAACACAAATAGTGAAACTCATACTGTGGACTAAATTCCATTGGTTGCGGGGGTCTCCCTATTCTAACACATGCCCAATGTCTTGGAACATGATTTTTCGCAACAGGGCCACTGGCAAAGAGGCTCGAGGCAGAGCTGGTCGTGTTTTTGGAAAGCAATCGATCCACCTGTCGTCGTGAAACAGCAGACTTGGAGAGTAGAGTTACAAACAGCAGTTTTGGATCGTCAAAACTCCCCTTTTCTTTGGGATATGTGTAATGTTGAATCCAAATTAGTATAATGGGACGGAATAATGAAAAGTGTTCGCCAAATTATTCACATACCCTGATTAGCTTGATGGGTCGGAATAATTAAACCGTTTTTTTCTCCCAGTGTGATTTTTTTTAGGTTTACTTGTTTTCTATTGTTCTGCTATTGCTCACCCTTTAACTTCCTTACTTAACTCTCCTGAGGCTTGCTTGATTCATGGAATTATGACCTGAAAATCGTTTTCAAAAACGCTTATTAAAACTCAACGATTTCATTGCTCCAAACAATTTTTCAAGGGGATAGTACACCAGCCCAGGGTAAGTGAATAATACAAATTGTTTAGGGGGTGGGATTAATATGCAAACTTGGAGCCCTAAGGGAAACTATTCTAACTGTATTAGTGTTCTATATTGTTCTGCTACTTCTGCCCTTTCGAACCTTGTTTATCTCTTCTACGACTACGACTACTACTACTACCACTACCACTACCACCACTACCACTACCACTACCACTACTACTACTCCTACTCCTACTCCTACTACTTCTTTTGGGTGGCGGGGTTACTCTTCAGACCCCCTGGATTGTTTGCTAGGGAGGGGGGGGCCTTACTAATTAGGATCGAACATGATATATATATATATAATTATATATATATATGTTATAATTACTGGCGGCGGCCGTAACGTTTGTTGGGTCACCTTCCTTGTGTAATGTGTAACCAGGTCCAGACGGCAGGCGCAGTCGACGGCCAGGTGCCCGATCTGGTCGTGGATACTCCAAGCAGTTCCCGATGTGCCAGGCACGTGGCATGGTGGTTTTCAATGATATTTGTAGAACTCCCCCAGTCCCCAAATTGAACCAACAAAAATCATGTAGCCTGTCGAAAAAATAGACCCGAGAATATGAAGAGGGTGTTACGGTCCAGAACAAAGGGGGAGGTGATGAATCAACTGTCTACATTTATAAGACCTTCCGTGACATCAAACAGTTTAAAGCATTTACACTCCCTGAAACAATCATGGAAGTGAAACAGGTCGGCCTTTGGGTTCCAACCATGTTCAATCCTCTACAAGTCGGCCCTGCTCAGCTTCCATGAGTACATCTGGGGGAGGGTGTACGGAAACATGTTTTTTTCCTCAATGGATCGGCGGCTACACAGTCCGGGGCATGTCTGCGGGAAATCGAGCCGTTTCATATACAGTAGATGAATGGGTGGAGGTGGACCTCTCAACAATCAAGTTCAGTTGTGGAAGAAACATGCAAGTTGTGCAACAAGCATCAAGCGTACCAAGCTGTTGGTGGAGTTCTCTCTCTCTCTCTCTCTCTATGCGACAATCATGCAAGTGGAACCTCCCTGTTTGTCATACATGTTGGATAGAGTAGGATGCTCGAGGTGGAGTTTGCCGTGGGGCTAACATGCATTGTTGGACGGACTCAGCATGCTTCTTATTTAAATGCCACTCTTGAAATTCAATCCGAGCCGCAAACATGCCTCTCTGATTCTAGGTTTAGTAATGGTTTAGTCTTTCGATCGCAAGGAAAACACACATCGCAAACATCTCACATACCTCACAAATCTACAGCCCTACTGTCAAAATTTTGTTGAGTTCTTGTCGCCCTCCCCGCACCAGTGGCTTCACAATGTTGCGCATATCGAATCACTTCGATCGCGCCACGCTGAGGGAATGGTCTCTGCGATTACGATCGGCTCGAGCGTTGCACACAGAAGATCTTCCAGGTGGCGGAAAAATTATGTATGTTGGAGGCCCACGATGGCTGTGGCTCAGCAAACATTAGCAAAAAACCCATCAGCGTCAACTTCTCCCTCAAATAGTTTGGTGCTCCTTCTTATCAACTACGGAAAACTACGGCACTTCGTGCGATTTGGGGTGTTCCAGTCTTTGGTGGATTCTTTGGCAAATTGTCATCACTTGGGCCGCCAGATGTGATGGGCCACAGTGGTATGGGTGATACTGGCAACAAGGCATGAGCATTCTCACTGCCATGGCCATATTGGAAGTTCACGAATCAACAAACCCATGGATCTGGAAAAGTCTTGTCTGAGTGGCACCCAACAGGTTCCAACACTGGCAATGAACCTAAACGCTTAATAAGGCTCCGCGCCTTTTATGAGGTACAGGAGAAAGCATGGCCAATCGGAATGCTCAACTGCCCCTTGCTGCTCGGGATGCGATGCTGCAAGTTGTTGCAGCCACCAGGGGTTGACGAAGCCGCTTGGCCATAAAGGAGGCACATTTAGCCGTGTTCAAAGGACACTCCTACCCCTCCAACTACCCGTGGCCAAGGTCTCTCATGACTTCGCGATACTGTATTTCCAAGCTTTGATTCCTAGCGAGGAGTAGCCCGGCACGACTTTCAAGAAAACCGCCCGAGGAGTACAGTACGTACCGGGCAAGTCAATTCCTGCACCTCGTCTCCAGCACCTTTATCTTCTCCATTTGTGTCGAAGTGATGCATGGACCGGGTGCCCTCATGGTTCCATGGGAACGGAACTCAGCTGATCTGGGGGAAGAGTTGAAGGGACTCCTAAAGAGCTCACCAGTCACAAGCAAGCGAAGTTCCTTCAGTCACGTCAGCTCCTTGGTATTCTGTATAGTGTATATATAAATATACTGTTTTGATCGTTCAGGCAATATATGGCATGCCAGGATTGCTGAGACGATTCTTTCATGTTCTTTCCGCCTTCATACATGACCTTGGAAAGGCCAAGCCGAACCCCTGACCTCAACCGAAAAGGGCCCTCAACCCCTGACCGCTGGAACCAGCGTCTTCAAGGACTCTTCTCCTGGCGGCCGTTGGTTCCGATGCCCCAAGATCGATCCGCAGGGAGGCTTGCGCCAAGGTGATTGAATTCAATTCGATCAGGAGCTGCGATCATTTTTGGGTGGATACCCAGGTGCAGGATGTAGTCCAAGGCATTTACCAAGATCCGAAGCCGAAGCAAGGGGCACTGTCCATCTATAGTTGAAGGGCCTTTATAGGAGATAAAAAGATTCTCCTGCCTGCCCACAAAGGATGCTCTTTTTGTGGTCCATCCATCGGTGTTTTCTGTCCATCCCAGGCTTTGACCTGGTTTTGCTGCCATTCCGGCGGAGTCTCGGGCCCCCTGCGGTTCCGGAACACCCCCTGACCCGGTGGCCGTTTCGGTGGAGAAGGGTCCAGACCCTGGAGGTCACCCGGACGCCTCGAAGCGAACCGACCCGGTTCGCCCGGACGCAGCGAAACGCAGCGATCGGTCGGGTCGAGGGACCTAACTCCTCCAGCATGTTGAGCGTGAGTTCGGCCTCAGCCGCAGCCGCGGGCCAAACTCAGCGGTTGCGCGCCCTTGTTCGCTGTACACACACACACATCTTGTTCAAGCTGTTCTACGTGTGGGTCATGGAATTGCTCAAAAGTCCCAAGCCATGGTATACAGCCCCAAGAAGCCTGTTTGATCCGTTTTAAGCAGGTGTGAGACGGGATGCAAACGCTGGATGA